TTTATATGATTCTCTTGAGGTTAATTTTACCATTTTTTAAATTGAAATCGAGGGGTATACTGACAAAAAAAAGGCCCAGAGGCCCACACCAAAAATATTAAAACCAATATTTTCATGGATAAGGAAGCCTAAGAAGGTAACCAAGAGATGAGAAACAAATTGGATGATAATTGTTTTTAGTGTATCTTAAAGCTGATTCAAGACATGGGTCAAAACCGACCCGTTAATATAAGAGATGGTAACAGAAAGCTAACACAAGAGGAAGGTTAAATTAAATTACCCAAATTTGTTTGTAGTGGTGCCTCAAAAGTGAGAGTTTGTATTTCTCTTTTCATTCCATTGATTGTTAGGATAGTTAGTTTTTGACTTTTGGTCAGAATAAAAGGCAGTTACCATTTAGGATCTAGATATCCGCCTTCTACACCGGTAGCCCCAAAATATTGTCCGTTGCCTCTAGAGGCTAATTCCTCTTCAAACGACAGCCAATGGGCTCCGAGACTGTGCAATCATGATTCACCCTGAATTTTTGTCATCAAGACCCATTGGAATAATCCTGCTGACAAACGGCCGTGAGGTGAAAACATAACCTTCTTGGTGCCGTGGCAGAGGTACTCCTGACCAGACAGAATAAGATCATTTCCCAAATTGTTGCCTTCAAAAAAACACTCAACTTCTTTATACAGTAAATCTAAATCACACTGTTTATGCACCGTTCTCCACTGGCAGGGTTTTATTCCAAATCATTTAGCATGAGGTCGTACGTTAGCATAGCTTTACCATGCTTGCAGGTGATAATTGTAGCTGTTGGCACTGATTTGTTCTGTAGTACACTCACATCCACACAAACGCAAAGTAAGTAGTCTGTTATGTGTTCAGCCACATGTTTGATGTGGTGTCACAAGTTTACCGCATAGTTGCCCACCAACCTGGTGGGGGGGGGGGCCTAACCAGCAGTCCAAGGACAGAAGGTGACTCACACGTTACACAATCTGTAGTAGGTGCTCATGCATGGCGGACAGTTTACAATTAGCATTGACAAAAACTATCCAACTTTAAGCCTTTTCTTGTTGCAGGTTTTTCTTTTTACAGTGTCACAAACATTGTAATGAAATATTGGAAAGCACCCACTTCTCTACTGGGAAGTAAGTGTCCAATGCTTGTTGAGCCTGCTCACTGAATGTTTCATTGTTTGTCCGTGTGTGAGTGGATGTTTATTTTGTACTTGAATCATGACTAGCCTGAATTACTCAAGTGATGTCAGTGTTGCATTATTCAGGGTTGTCAGTTGCGTACTTCTTCCTCAGTCTACCTATGCTGCATTTCAGATTTTCTTATTGAAAGATCAGTCTGAGGGGACTTTTCACCAGTTTGAGGATGGCTACTGTCTCTAGTTATGGTAGAAATGCCATTTACTGTAACAACAATACTGTTCATGACAATAAAGTTTTTTATAAATGATTTGTGAATGTGCAGGTGATTCCTAAGCTGTGAGTAAACATCACAAACATCAGTTTGTATCTGTTTCAATGTAAAGTGATTGTAATTTATTTATGTTCTCAGTCCAGACTGTAACACTGGATTTATATATCAGGATTTATATTCACTATATATGCTACATTTATGTGGTTGTTATGTGTTTCCAACATTGGTGAAGAAAAGCATGATAAGCTGGTGTGTTCCCTGAACAAAAAAGGCCTGTGTCATAAATCTGTAACTAATATTATCAGGGATACATTTTATAGTTAGAAAGTGCATTCATGGCCAAATAGGAGCCAGGCTGTAGGTTTCACTTTCCTGAGAAATAGAAATCCACAGACAGGGCTCAGTTACAGTTTCACAGTATGCAAAACCTGATTTGGTTTGCAGATGCCTCTCTTTGGCTTATAAAAAAACATATATGTAAGCCACCTATTGCGATTATAAAATCATCCATGTGCAGATTGTACAGGGTTAGCGACAGACTTGCTGTCAGAGAAGTTCAGGCTTGATCTGTTACTACACAGCAGAGCCTGTTCTGTTGTTCTCCAAAGCCTCACTCAGTAGAACGCCATTCTGCAGATGGAGGGAGAGCTGGAAGGTTTTATCCTGTGATTCTCCTTGCCAGCTTTTTACCCTGAATGTATCGTGATCTAAAGATGTATTTTTCCTGATTATGTAAGCATATGAATATTTTGGGGTTTGTTATTATAGAAGCTGTTAATTTTTATTGAGGTTTAATGATGAGGAAATCATCTTTGATTGGATAACCCTGTTTATCTGGTTGCCACTTTAAAGTGCTCCTGCTGTTTTTCCTTCAAGCTATAATACTTGCTATTTTCTTTAATATTTATCCTTGTGCATTGTCAGTATGGCTTAAGTCTACTTTCAGTTCCTGCAAAACAATGACTTGCAGCTGAAAGGAAAATTGCAAAAAACAAAACTAAAACTTAAAACAGCCAGGTGTATTTCATGCAACACCAACACCAATGGGCTGTAGGTTTTGCTTTCCTGACGTGATGAGGAACAGATAGGGCCCTGTGAGGGTGCATGCATATCATCATCAACAACAGAACCTGTAGGCTATAAGCTGCTAATAGAGTAAACACCATAGATGAATATATAAACAATAGGTGTGGATATGGCTTTATTAAAAAATGATTATAAAATAAATGTTATAGGACAGCGTAGTTAAACTTTTCTGTGTCACTGCACAATGGTGACTCTCTGTTGGCCCTCTAGAGCCTCCCTCAGTGGGGCCCAATCGTCAGATTCAAGAGGGTTTTACTTTCGTTTCCTGCGTCCTCACACAGCTGATGACAACACAATATAAAAAGCCCCACCATCTAAACAATGTGTTGATAGTGGACCAGGAAAAGCTGGGAACACCACACACCTCTTCTCAGCTGACTGGTGAGTAAATAAATAGTCCGGCTTCTTTCCTAGCAGATGACAGATACGTTATAGAGTGGCTCATTTATCCAGCATATATCTCCCACAGAATGTTTTCTTGCAGCAACTTTACTCGGATGTAGTCAGACTGCGGTGTCATTGATCCAAACGCTGTCAATGTATAATCCAGTGTACGTTGCTTCCCTGCAGTATTTTGGGGATGATTGTATGATTCTGATGTGTTGTCAAACAGGAGTAAAGTGCAGGATGGCAGAGTTGGGACTGTATTCATACCAACAGGAAGTGGTTGAAAGGGCTATTAAGGGAGAGAACGTGATTATCTGGTTGCCGACCGGAGGTGGAAAGACCCGAGCTGCTGTGTATGTGGCCAAGAGACACCTGGAAACCACACAGCATGCCAAGGTGGTGGTCCTGGTCAACAAGGTACCCAGAATACACCAAACTGACAAGATGAACACAGTATTTATCCACCAGTGTGGCTAGAGGCAGAACAAATTCAGTAGGTTTTATGTATTGTGTGCTGCAGGTTCACCTTGTAGACCAACATTACACCAAAGAGTTCAAGCCTCATCTGGGCTCCAACTACACCCTGGTGCCAGTGAGTGGAGAGAGCGAGTTGAAGGACCTCTTCGGAAAAGTGGTGCAGGACTCGGACGTGGTCATCTGCACAGCGCAGATCTTATATAACGCTCTGACCAACAGTGAGGAAACCAAACACGTTGAGCTCTCGGGTCAGTGAAAGCTAGTTTAACAGCCTTGATTGTGATTTCGTAATGAGCATGGTCAACTGAGTCTTTGTGGTTACTCACAGATATCACTCTACTTATATTTGATGAGTGTCACCACACCCACAAGGGGGGGGTCTACAACCAGATCATGAAGTGCTACGTGGAGAAAAAGTTGAAAGGAGAGCGCCGGTTGCCGCAGATCCTGGGTCTCACTGCATCGCCGGGGACGGGGGGCGCTAGGATCCTGGAGAAGGCTGTGGAGCACGTCCTGCAGGTCAGGGTCTCTCATGAGCTGTCTGTGTGATGTTCCACATCTCTCTTCTTCTTGTTTAAGGAAGGAAAATCTTCTGCACTGTTTTTGATCAAAGATGGCTGAATGTCTAAATAGTATTCCCAGTGGTAAATAAAAACGATTTACTTCATGTGCCCCAGTTGTCCTTCTGTGATTTTGGTCCAACAGTCAAACCAAAAAGCTTTAAGTACAGAACATCCAAATATTACACCACATGGTGAAGATCAAGTCCGGATCACTAGAAGTCATGCCAGGATTTTTTATCTTCATGAGGATGGAGACTGTCTCAATGTCTTATCCCATTGGACAGGATGGAAACTCCCAGCACAAAACACAAAACGTCATATTTAATCTGGTCAACCATCTGTTTTGGTCAAGGATAATATTTGTCATACACAATATAAAAGCTCTTGAAAAAATAAATTAGTCACAAATACTGACAATCTTCCTCTCTCCATCTCAGATTTGTGCCAACCTGGACTCATCCATAGTTTCAACCAGGCTCTATGCCCCTGAGTTGAAGAAGAAGGTGCCTAGACCCATCAAGACATTTGACATTGTCGAGACCAGGCCTGAGGTAAAGAAAAACATTAGTGTCAATGTCTTTTGGAAACCGCCCCATCGAGATTCTATCATATTTTAACAATTTGAATGGTATTTTGTTCTTTTAGGATCCGTTTGGGAATCATCTGAAGCGGATGATGCAGATGATCCAAGACTACATGAACTTACCAACTTCAGACTTCAGACTGAGAGAGTGTGGCACGCAGGAGTATGAGGCAGATGTGGTGATTTTAGAGCAGCGAGGTATGTTTTGTTTTTCGTCCTGTAATTTAATCCTGTTTTAATGTCTATGTCACCAATACCTTATCTGTGCATTTGAATGGATTAGGGATAAGAGAGGACAACAGACGGCTTGCACAATGTGCTCTCCACCTCAGACAGTACAACGATGCCCTGCTCATCAACGACACCTTGCTTATGATGGATGCTTACCGCAACCTGGAGGAGTTCTACATCTCTAAGTCCACCAGAGCCATTGACAAAACAGACTTCTTCCTGGTGGGAATTTTCCAAGGTGGGAATACAGAAATTTTCTTTATTTGAATTTATGTTGTATCTCACACACATGTTGGCAAACCAAAGCTGCTTTCAGACATGGACCGAACTCTGGCAATTCTCTGCATTTTCTCCAGAGGAGATGTTTGTGTGAACGCAAATGTCCAAGTGAGAGCCTCCGGATTAAAGTCAGGAAGTCAGAAGAATCCCATGTGATAACGCTTCTAAGACACGACAGACACAATAATGAAAAAAAAAAGAAACATATCTCAGAGAGAACCTCCCGCTGCATTGTACATGTGTCAAACTACAGGTTAAGTCTCCTGACTTAAAGGTCCAGTGTGTAAGATTTAGTTGAAAGGGATCTGTCGAAACTGAATATATAAAAAATCCTAGTGATGTTTTCACTAGTGTGTTTCCTCTAAATTTTTTTTTTTACCCTAGAATGTCCCCTATATATTTAAACATCTGGAGGAGGTCCTCTCTACGGAGGCTGCCCTATTTTTTTTACAGTCGTCCAAAGCGGACAAACTGAACACCTTTTTAGTTTTTATGACAACTGAAGACTACCACAGGTTCTCTTTCATGCAACTTCACCACTAGATGTCACTAAATTATACATACTGAACCTTTAATTTGCAGGTCACTGAAAATGGCGTTTGAAAACCACTGTTTTTGTTACGCAGATAATCAGGCGGATTTGATGAAAGTTGCAAGAGATTCTCGCTATGAGAACCCAAAGATGGCCAAACTTGAGAGCGTTCTGCTGAAACAGTTCAGTTCGGGTTTGCAGTCCAAGGGAATCCTCTTCAGCAAAACACGTAAAAGCATCCACTGCCTGAATGAATGGGTCCTCAACAACAGAGCCCTACAGGAAGCTGGCGTCAAGTCAGCCATCCTGACTGGGGCTGGCAACGGCATCACTTACATGACACAGGTGTGCTGATGTATTATGAGTATAAATCATCCCAATTTATGTGCAACGTCTCTGTGGATATGTGTTTGTGTTTTGTGTGATCTAACATGCTTTTCTTACACTTCCCTTGCAGCACGAGCAGGCTGACACGATCTGCCGTTTCCGCCAGGGCACTCTCAACCTGCTAATCTCCACCAGCGTGGCTGAGGAGGGCCTTGACATTCCTGAATGCAACCTGGTGGTGCGCTACGGCCTGCTTACAAATGAGATCGCCCAGCAGCAGGCAAGCGGACGCGCCAGAGCACAAGACAGCCAGTATTCAGTGGTCGCCTTGAAAGGGGGGCGAGAGGAGCGCAGAGAGATCACCAACGAATATCTGGAGGAGCTGACAGCGAAAGCCATCGCTCAGGTCCAAGATATGAGCATCAGAGAGTTTCAAAGAAAGGTGAGGCTGCAGCACTCCGTTCATTCTTATTCTGTGCTCCCAGTTCTCAGTTTTCTTACCTTTTATTTTTCTTTGGTTCCAGATAACTGAATTACAGACACAAGCAGTCATTAAAAGTAGAATTGAAGAGAGCTGCAAAATGCAGAAGAGGAGTCGCTACACCGCTTCTAGTATCCAGCTCCTGTGTCGAAACTGTTTCAAGTCTGTGGCCTCCGGCAGCGACATTAAACTCATCGACAATGTGCACCATGTCAATGTCAATCCTGCCTTTGAGTAAGTTGAATTCCTTTGGGTGTAAGAGTTAATCTGAATGCACATTCATGCCCAAGTCTTTACACTACATCTTCACTGCTCTAATCTTGTCTCTGTTCTCAGGAAACACTACAAAGTGGGAGGGCAGGTGATTTTACCAAAGATGTTTGACGACTGGGAGCCTGGGCGGATTATCAGCTGCAATAACGGCAACTGCAACAAGGTACGTTGGACTTTATGCCGAATATTTGATTCGAGACCCAGACCGAAACTTTCCTGCTTGCATGGCGGGGTCTGAGTGTTATTCTTATGTAAATTCACAGGAATGGGGATTTGAGATGAAGTACAAGGAGATCGCCTTGCTGCCCAATCTAGCCATTAAGCATTTGTTCCTGCAGACACCTGACGGCAGGATGACTGTGAAGAAGTGGAAGGATGTCCCTTTCACTGTGGACAACTTCAGCTTTGAAGAATACTGCCAAGATAACTTCCCTGACCTCTTAGACTGAGGATCCAACAACAGAGCTCTGTGTTTCATTTCTTACTGTACGTCCCTTTTTATCTTTATTTTTATTCCAGTCTGTCTGTGTTTGCGAGTCAGAGATCATTTAGAGAAACCACCACTGTGCACTTTGAGATGCTTTATACAGGAACACAAGCTACTGTAAAATGCACTCCACACGTGCTTGTACTTATTTATGCTGCAGGGCCAATGAGGCAGCAGCAGTGTGCTAAAGCCCATTACACATCGATCATGCTTGAAATTAGCATGACAGCTTTGTTTATGCCCACGGTCCTTGGTGGCTTTGCATGGTTCTGTGTGTATTTTCCGTGCTTCATCTCAAGCGCAGAAACAAAAGCACAACACTTGACATGACGAGTTGAATGTGCTTCTTTTAAATGCTTTTTATTGGAAATAATTTTTTATGCAGTAATGTGTGTGAAATATGCAGCAGTGGGATGAAACAAAGTACATTTACTTTTTTCTGTACTCAAGTAATTTTTTCATGTATCTGCACTTTACCTTTGATTTACTTTAGTTGATTTATCTTTGGGTATACTACACCTTTACTCATCTACATATATCAAATATGTCTACTCAACTACAGTACTTTGCATATCATGTTACACTGTTTTTTTAAAAATATTTTCTAAAAGTAATCAATAGCTAGAGGGGGAATAATTATCCAATCCTGCATCACTGGTGAAGAAAAGAAAACCTGAAATGGATTCCGAGGCAGTCACTGAGACTCAACAATAATGATGTCGTAGACCTTTGTATTAGGGAACTGAATTACTTTTACTCGAAACGTTTATGTCGTACTTTTACTTGAGTACATTTTTGTTTATTTATTTGTACTTCAATCAGATGTTTGAGCACTTCCTCCACCACTGGTAATATGATAATATATCCATATGAATGATCTCACATAACACATGTAATTATTCTAATGTTTTCATTTGAGGTTATTTTTAACAATATAACAATATTTTAACAAAATTGAAATACAGACTGTAGTATTAGTTTATTTCCTTATTTCCATGTTTTCCTCTTGAAGTGCTTAACAGATTTTAAATTAATTTGCCTCTTTAAACCACTAGGTGTCACTGTTGGTTAGCCAAATGCCCAAACAAATTCACACACTTTTGTCATCTACTTTTGTAACCTCCAATAAATTGTGTGAGTAAAACCGGAATATACATTTTACCTGTTGATTCTTAAACTGAAAGCAATGAGCTGATGACGTGCAGAGACTCTGATTCCACAGGAGAGAGAGTGTGGGACCTGAGATGTGTTGTGACGAATATGAGTGCGCAATTCTCTGTTTTAGACTTTGCTGATTAACACCTGAGTAGGGCACTCCATTTCCAAACTGCTTCAGTGGAGTGTCCTCTGGGCCGCTGTTGCAAGACTGCCTCCAAAATGTGTGTATGCAACACCTGGAAAAGAGGAAATTCAGTATTTCAGTACATAACTTTGATGCTTTGAGTTCTGATATGAACAGTGTAGGTGTTTCTTTATAAGTGTTGCATCCAGCAAAGGAAATCCTAGAAACCTCAATGCCTGCGAGAGCTTTTCTTTGAAGGTGTTTTGAAATGAGTACGCTGTGTACGCTGCTCATGCATCTCTGGATCAATACACCATCTGAACAGTCTGCACAGAGGAACAGATTTATTAGACTTGCAAATGATCGTTTAACACGCTGCCTTCAAAGATACACAACCTCCACTTTTTTTTTCCTTCCCAGAACCCACACAGCTTGATTTTAGCAATCCCCAAAGGACACATTCAGACAGCTAATCATTTACAGTTTCATTTTGCCGCTGCTTTGTTTACACACACAAATCAATCTTAACATGCAGCAGCGAGAAGTCTCAGCTGTAATGAGCAGTTTCCAAAACAAACCCCAGATTAGGAAACTGTAAAAACGACCGGAGAGGAAATCATTCATTTCAGACTGGCAGCTGTATTGGGGTAGGTTCATTTTTGTGCCGCAAAACATCTTCACGTGCATCTGCGAGCCAGACACGAATAGGTCAGCCTCACAGTGTCACATGTGTCGTAATCCCTTCAGATCTGGCAGAGAGCTGGAGTCAGTGGTGCCGCCATGTACGTAATCACACTAAAAACAGGCTCTGTTCCGGTGTCATGGCTCACTCAGACTCAAGCGAGAGGAGACGTACACTGTGTGATTTACTCTGATCAGGCTCAGGCTCTATAATCAAAGCTGATTGCTTCCTTTTGCTTTCCAGCTCAACACCCCATGCATCTTAATTGCAATTAGCTCTCTCCTGAAATTAAAGCAGCTTGGAGTAGGTGAGCCAAGGATGATAACGTGGTGTGAGTGCGTGTGGATTTTGATGATGCCACTCAACAACAGGGTCCTCCTCATTTGTATCCAGGACATGTCTGCCTACTGTAAATCTATCTAATGCATGAGCATGACTATTACCTTGGTTAAAGGAGGAGAGTTGCATTTTAGCTGAGCGACCGATGTTAACCAGGGTCTGAAATTCCCAATATATTACATATTTTTAAAAAAAAGTGATTTGCAATAATAACATATGCATTTATCCAATTAATATGTAAAATTCAATTTAAAATGCAAGATGGAGCTTATTTGCAAATGTTAGAGATTTTTTAAATAAGGAACTGGAATGAATTGTCAATTTAACATTCAGCTGATCAATAGAAACATTCATTTTATAATCTTTTAACAATTTTAATCATTTTTCAAACACTAGAATGGCACTCAGCAGAGCGCATATCTCTGCAAAGGCCAAACAGTCATTAAGCTTAGATTCAATTAAGCTGCAACAAATTTCACACACTCATAGATACAGTATCTGTTCATATATCATACACTGCTTTATCTATTTTACACTATTCTAGTTTGCACTACAATCATATACTGCAGTTCACCCTGTGCCTTTTTGACTGCATACTTACATCTGCTTGTGTGCTTTTATATTGTGTAACTCAAATGTTGTTGTCTATGTCCTGAACATGATGCACAATTGACAACAAAGATCCATGAATTATTCCTTGAAAAAAAGGTGAAAATGTTTCCGATCTTGTAATTTTTTGCATCTTTCCCCAAAAATTCAATGCATTCTTCCCAGACCCACACAACATCTTTCCATCAGGTTTATATTGTTGTGTATTCTTGCTTACAAACAAACAAACCTCTAATATCCATACTAGTGTGTGTGCATATATATATATATAGTGTATATGGCTACTTTTGTATATGTCACCTGAGGCTTTTACAAGTTGTTTACTATTTTATTTTTACTTAAATATATAGAAAATAATCGGCAGAGTAATAATAACTAAAAACAATCACTATTAGCATTGAAATTAAACATTTTCCTCACTGCTTTACTTCCGGGTATTTTGTCATCGGCAGGAAAAACTCCAAACATGGACACCCCCCCAGTTCATTAACCCAATTAGCTGTGCGTAACGGATGCCAGGTGAGCTCTGTCTGTTTGACTGTGGCTGTCTGTAGAGTACCTGCTTCTCTTTTACAGAGAAGTCCAGAGAAAGTTGCTGTTTTGTTTTTTTATGTTCTGCGGATGTTTCAGCAGCTCCACACAAAACACACGGAGCCAGTAAAGAAGATTGAACACAGGACGCGGCGCAGCGTGGCACCTCCATTGTTGGCACGTGGCTGAGCGCAGTAAGTGTTTCCAAATTACCTGCGAAGTGGCAGCTCCATTTGTTACCTACACATATTTTACTTTTATAGCTGTACCCATGGGCGCACTCGTAACGTTAAACAGCTTGTTGGTGCTGTTAAATTAACACATACCTCTTCAAACACACACACACACACAGAGTTGTGTGCGGAGAGCAGCACAGACCTCGTTGTGTTGGGTGGCTTCAGTGCGCGCTGGTGGAGCAGGTGGACTCTCAGGGTCGTACTGATGACAGGTTGTGCTCTCAGCTGTCAACACAAACTGAGGTGTCATGTCGGACTGGACAGCGTCGAGCTGCCCGCATTGTTTGACGCTCATCTGCCTGACGTTCCAGTCACAGTCCTGTTGGGTTTGTTGCTGAATGAATGAAGGGAGGGAGGTGGACGAAGCTGTTAATAGGGCCCCTGGGTAGTGACGTGTTCAACTCAGCTTAATTTAGATATTGATGTTTTAGGATATTTTATTTAGTTGATCAAAAGACACTGACACACTAGGTTTGAGATGGAGTAAGCAACAGCTGCTCTAAACTGAAGCCAAAACATCTTGATTGCCCCCTGGTGTCTAGTTAAAGTATAATCAAAGCTAAGCACTTTTTGCTACATTTATTTATTCATTTGACCAAATATGGTTTCCATCATTGAAATTTACTTTTATCACACTGATGTACATTCAAGAGTTTATTTCTTGGAGAGTTTAGTTTTATTTAGTTAGTTGATGCTATTAATAAACAGCCTGTGTATTGACTCCACTCCACCATTACTACTGTGCAGTGGCTCCAAATGATCATCAGCTTAAGATGGCAGAATATTTTGGCTTCATTTTCCTTCAGTGAGAGGAGGTAGGGAGACGTGTCTATATATGATTGGGGCCCTTGGGGTCCCACTTTGCACTGTTAGCACTAAACACAAAGTACAGATGTGGCTCTTGGGAAAGTCATTAGTTTTACAGATATAAATAAACCAGACTGAACTTGTTGAGATCACTTGAAACCCCATTTAAACGGATCCCAAGTGGGGACTCATTACAGCAATTCACTGTTTGTATTGAAATGAAACATAAATAAAACATATCTTGACTTAATTTAAAGGAAATACTGTTTGAATTATCTGCATTAAATCAAAGTTAGACAATGTAAGCACGGACTACCCTGGCTGCGGACAGACGCCACACCTGTCAGTGTCAGTGTCAGGCGGTCTGACACACCGCAATACATTCACGCTGTCAACACATGCACGCTGTCAACACATGCTTGTTTTCTGCTTGTGTCGTCTTCACACATTCTCTCTGCAGGACTCACACAGGACACGGACAGAGACAATGACAGACACAAATAACTTGTAGAGTACAGTGAGCCGGTCACCAGGACGGACCATTTCCTCTGGGACCGGTCTGCTTGTCAGCCAGCTGCTCGTGCTGTCTGAGAGTTTGCTGTGCTGCTCATTGGCCTTTGAGCAGAGGTGGTGGGACTCCATCATCTCTATACTCATGGTAACAGTCAAGGATCAGGTTACCTTCGCTGACAAGGAAGTGACTGACCTCCATCATTGTCCTATGTGTTGTCACATATATATATTACCTGTGTTATTTGTAGTTCAGAGTGGTTATCAAGCTGCTGCTCATGTAAAAACACGCAGTTAGACAATACACTATTGGAGAACACATTGTCAATTTGATGAAAGCGCCACAAATAGAAAACAAGCACAGCATGTTATCATATGATCCCAATGTTAAATAATCAGCACAAAATATGTTATATTATGTTTTACCTAATTGAAAGACAGTCAACTTCAACAAGTAACTTCTCAAGTCGCAAACCATGTAACAAGTTGCTGTGATCTGTTGTTGTATTGTGAGTGTTTGGTCATATTGTGAGTATGTGGTTGTGTTTTGAGTGTTTGCAGTGCATTTTCATTTTGCTGCATATATATACACACTATATATGTATGTATGTGTATATATATATATATATATATATATACTATATATGTATGTATGTATGTATGTATATATATGTATATGTGTCTATTTGCTTGTGTTTTCTTAAGCTGCAGTGTGTTTAGCTCTCAGGGCCTCTCTACCTTTTGAGACTGTCATGCCTTAGCTACCTGATCTTGAGCAAATTCAAGATGGGGGAGTATTTTGAATTTTCTACATAACATTTTGCATTTTAATTTCATGGTACGTTCCTTTTTAAACCCAGGTTGGAAATAAGCATGTTTGTGTGTATTCCCAGGGCAACATAAAAGCAATTATAGCCCGCAAACGGTGCATCTCTGTCGTCACACATCTCCTTTGATTGAGGATGTCACTCTCTGAAGTGGATTGGAACTCTAGTGCTGGTGCCAGCGTTGGGAGTTAACAAGGCTATTTCATGCTTTATTATAGCTTGCATGAAAGAGACACTTGTCTTTGCTGGCTGCCACTTTGTGGCCTGGCTTGTGTCTGTTCTTCACTGTCTTGTCCCTTTTCTGCTGCCTTCTTTCTGAGAGATCTGCTAAATTATAATACTAGAAACTCAAGAATGAACTGCTAATAAGTTCTTTATCAGGATCTTTGACAACCCCCTCCCCCAAAGATGGTTCAGCAGTTTCAATGGTAAAATAATTCACTCAAGTTCAGCTGTCTGTGTTTTAGTCCAGAAAACATTGTGACATATCAGCAGTACAAATATTAACGCTCACGTCAAAATGTCTGGGAGAAGCAGTGACATCTTACGCTGTTGTGTCATTTTAGTGCCTCAGATAATTGTGTGCCCACTCATGTACGTATCTATGTTCATTGTTTTAGTTTGGACTATAATAAATAGATTGCGTTCTTCTTGCCTTCTTTTTACTCTGCAGTTATTGTGTCCTTATTAATCCACGTTGAGTCACTTTATATCATTCAGGCTGGTGAGGATTATTGACCTAATTTTGTATTCACTCCTCTCTATGCCGATCACTGGGGGATGATCGTGTGTTTGTGACAATTTTATTGATTAATCAAGAAAATAATCAGAGGATTGATCTACAATGAACATAATCAATATTTGTAGCTTTAGTTGTAGTTCATTAATCAATTATGTAAATTGTAACACAATGATGTAGATTTTGCCAGTAACCAATAATTTTTATACAATATTTGTATTTTCATTGTTTTTACATCATTGTAAAAATGTTATTTTTAATGATGGACAAAAAACACAAAATGTGTTTTTTTCGTTTCTAGAAACTTGATATTCTTTTCACTATTTTACTTTTAGTGACAAAATGAAAGGTAAATCGATGGAAATAATTGTTGCCAATAAGGCAACTGCTGACTGCTAAATGCATTGGTATGTTTGTGTTTGAGCGAAAGACTGTGTGTGTGTCTCTACTCTTAAGGTGTGACGGCAGGTGCTTTCATGGTCTGAAATAGTTGTACACACACAAGGTACCCAAAAGCATTTGACTGAAATGGGCGATCCCTGAGGTCTGTGCTGAGGGTATCGATTATGCCATGAAAACCTCACCCGCATTTAAAGCAGTTAAGGCTCAGACATGCTAGCTTTGTTATTTCCAATTTCTTCCTTGAAAATTAAATATTTGCAAAATGAGAGATGATTATTGATAATTGGTGGGATACTAAGGACAGACAGATTAAGGCAGATGAGGGGGAAAGCTATGAATATCCATCTCTATATCTATCTGTCTATCTAGTGCGGGAAAAAGGAAGGTTGAAACAGAGGAAGAGCAGCGTATGTCTTGGAGGAAGAACAGTGGTGTACAAAAGTGAAGTCATTCACCATCTGTAACCTTGCCAGGACACGGCACAGACTACCCAGAAACCTGATGTAAACAGAGAGAGACGACAACACAATCTCAAAGGACCGGTTGATAAACACTGTTACGATCCCCGAGCAGCCCAGTCAAACTGAAGCCTTGTTTCCCTGGAGCAGTTGGAGCCGGAGATAAGCGGAGGGCTCATATCGCATAAAAAGATTTCTACAGATTCATGAGGCTCTGGCACAGTGAGCTATTGATCCCTCTCCTCCGTCTGTGCGAGGAGAGTGGAGGATACTGCAAACCTCACAATGGTTAAAGCTTTCTTTTTTAGGTTGCATGTTGTGCTAATGTCAGAGTGACTTACTTTAAGGGCAACATCACGATTAGAAATGTAGAAAATAAATTAACAGTGTCTGTAGATCATCTTGAAGAACAGGACGTTGTGTGTGAAAGAGTTATTGTTGCTCAGTCTGTGAATCATTGGAGAAATGCAAACAAACTTCTATTTACTTGTCTTGGTGTAGCTGGGGATTGAGTGTAATTTAATCAAGTGTTTTGTTTGTTTTAGATGGAAATTTATGTAAACTGATGATTTAAAACAATTGTTTGTGTTTGGCAAATGTTAGCGCCTCTGTCCTGCTCCATTGGCCTTCGTGCAAATTTACTCTAAAGCCACCAGAGCCAAACTCGTTATCCTAGATGACATTAGGTTCCCAAACATGCTGGCTAATCCTCATCCTGAAAGGCTGTGGCTGCACAGACAAACATGATGGAAGTTATGTGCTCTACAGATTTGTACGTTTAAACTTTTAATATTAGAACAAACATGTAGTAATGTCAGTAATGGTAAGATCTAATAACTGCAGAACAAGACAAACGTGTTTCTGTTTGTCCATATCTTCTGGTTGCGAACTTTCTATCTGGGATATAAAGCTTTTGAATTTAGTGTTTTAGTGTGACTACTGCAGTGCCTCTTCTGGCTGTGTTTTGCTTGTGGTTGCAGCTTTTCTTTCTGAAACTGTAAAAGTGACCTACAATGATTGAACCGCGGACTCAGGACTCAGCCCAGAGAACCATGAAGCTGCACCACCACTGCTGCACAAAGAGCTGTTCACCTGTTTATTCAAAGTATGGTGAACTTTCCCGTTTTTTCAGATAAAAACTCACAGCCTTTGTCCTCACGTGGTTTCTGTTTTGGGTCTTCGCCTGATTCTTGTCGTGACACCTTTTTCCCTTTTCATATTTCTAGTATAATGAATGAGCCAATCATGTGAAGGATTGTTGGCCTTGGCAGAGCTATGTGCACTTCTGTGCCATTCTAGTTGTAAATTACACTGTGCCACGCAAGAACAGGAAGCTTGACACATGTAGCAACAGTAGCTGCAGGGAGTGCTGGCAGTGAAGGTCAGCTGACAACATGAGACCACAAGTGACGGCAGAGTGGAGCATGTGGTTCAGCGCCACAACATCTTGCCAATAAAAGTGAAAAGATAGAACTATCGTCAACATCATTAATGCCATCATTGCCATCAATGGCATCACCAAAGTAAAGAACAGCAGCAACAACAGGAAAACAACAAATGGAGCCATCAATCACATGAGGAGAGCTGCAGGTCACTGGGCTGCAGCTTTGCTTAATAGAGGCACTACATTAACTGCTGCCGAGTTTTGACAGATCCAATTAGAATGAGCTCCATACCTCTGCCACCGCCCTGCCCTCCAAACTACTCTCACACGTGCAGCTATGAGGCAGCATGGCGTCCGCACTTCTCCAACTCATCCATAGTTTCTTCGGGCTTCATTCAGTGCATCGCTGCAGCAGTAGACCTAGAATAAACTGGAGCCACCATCCAAACATAAATTCTTGTTTGTTGTTTTTATTTTGGATTTTCTACTCACAATAATCACACACTCTTTATATACAGTATTTATTACTGGGAAACTTGTGCTTCCCAGCTGAATACTTTTCATGCTGCCACCACACGCCCTTTTTCCACATCCCTCAAAATGTCTATTCCTGACTTTGGTAAAGCTGCTTTTCTCTCATCTATCCACAAATGTCCAAATGATAGGTTTTGTGTCTGAGGAGAAAAGGGAGTCATGCTTCACAAGACGGGAGCACAGCAAAACGTCTGACTCCTGCCAAGGAGAGGAAACAAAGGGGGCTGTTTTTTTTTTTGTTGCAAAATCTATTCTTTTGTCTGTCTGCTTTCTTTGTGTACCCTTCACTCAAGCTCCAGCCGCAGTCCTGCCTCTCAATTATTCCTGAGAACCAACGTGCTTGTCAATCTTTTCTTTTTCAATAGCTAATAGTCCATCTATCCCTCTCTGCCCATCAGTCAAACCAATTAATTCGATCAAGCTGTTGAAAGTCATTTTCAGCCGCAGCGGGAGGGAAGTGCCAGAATGACAGCGCTGGCTCACAATATTCATTGTTAAGAGACAAACAACACAGAATAAACCAATGTAAATTAGCCTGAATGTATCCAGAAGTAATTTTATATCCATACCATTCAATTATATTTTTGTTTGCAGCATTTCCCTTTTATTTCTTCATTGTCACTACGTGTGTGTGTCTGCACATGGATTTTGGAGTCACACTCCGTACAAAACACATGGTTAGATTATGGCATGAGTGTCTCGTCAGTGTAAAAACCCTCAAGACTGTGAGCAATGCTGTTTCCAGTCAGCATGGCCTCGACATGAGGGCAAGTCGTCTATTCGCAGGTGTTATACTAACCTGTGTTCCTTTCATAGAAATGGATCAGGCCTTTGGAACCTTTCAGTCTTCAGGTACATGCTGTCTGAGTAGGTTTTCTTTCACTTCCTCAGAGGGAAACCTCTGACAAGACGAAGCCTCTGTCGTAACGACGAAGACTTGTCCAAATGCTGCTGGACAAGAATTGTGTGTGAATTATTATTTTTGCTCTGCTGATGCGAGCTATCTAACCCTTCACGCAGGTCTTTTGATGTAGCTCCTCGTTGTCTTGCAGAGCTGCAGGAAATTGAAAGGGAAGATCGGGGGAGTGTTAGCGAAGGGGAAGAAGAGGTGGGGGGGCGGGAGTGACGCACGTCACGTTAGGGTTTTCTGGGACACGGTACACGGAAATGAACTAGCCTTGCATGACCTGCAGGAGAAGTGCGAGGAGGATGCACGGTGCAGCGAGGCAAGATCAGTTGTTTTAGAAAACACAGGAGATCAAATAAGTGATTTTTGTTTTTTCTCCCTCAACTAAAAGACTCAGGGCACAAATCCAGGTTTAATATTTCTGCTGCATCCTTCATTCACCCTGCGCTGCCTCTCACCACTGCATGCAACGCTCCATTCTAATTCAGAGAAAAGACTAAACCTTGGGAGAATCACACAGAACACACTTGCTCAGTCTCCCTCGAGTGTTGAAAGAGTAAAGTTTTAATGTGACCGGAATTTGATTTGAAGCTCTCAGTGACTTGAAGACGGGAGAGAGGCTGCTTTTCCTCTCGACTGTCATTCTCTTCTACACTGTAAGTGCTTTCTCTCCGTCTGTCAATGAACACACGCGTTTCTATATTTTTTCCCCTGCTGATAAATTATAATGACGAACAGGCTGTTTCAGGTTGGGGAGTACAAAGTGGTTTAGGGCAAAGTTAATAAGTCAATTTCTGCTCTTTTGTGAGCCCTGGGAAGTGGAATTAGCATTTTTATTTTAACAATGCTGTTGCATATTTTTGTGATTATATTCGAATATTTCAAGACATGATTAATATAACTTTATTTGTCCACGAGGGACTGTAAGTCATGAAAAAGTCACACATTGTTATATTTCTTGAACCTACCTTTAAACTAGAAAGAGATATTGTATTTAGGAGGTAGTGTGTTGTCTTCTAACCATTTGTCCTAATAAATCTAAATGTTTGTCCTGGAAATAGGTTTTTATTTACAGCATGTTTTTTTATTGTGAGTCGGCAGCTTGGTGCATGAATGAGAGTAATTTCATATGAAAGCCAAGCGTCTCCCTCATGAGTCTCGGTTGTTTAAATGAAGATGAACACAGAGGACCATGGCAACAGTCCGTTATATCAAAATGACAGATAAGCAATGAGCGGGCGCAGTCATATACCCCCCCCCCCCTTCACCATTGTGCTCAGGTAGTGCAGAGAAGGAGGTGGGAAGTGTGATGTGTAACGTGGCAGGTCAGACGCGGGAAAGTGGGTTTGCTCTGGCGGGAAATGGCTATTTACGTAGCTGAAAATGGAGTGGGCCTTTCTGACATTTTCATAGCCCTGAAGGCAAGAGTAACCTTCAGCAGAAAACAGAACGATTAAAGGAACGAAAGGGGGGGAGGCGGACGTGCGAGAGCCAGAGCGAGAGGTGGGGCAGAAAGCAGGGGAAGTGATTGCATGGGAGAGTTAAAAATGATTGGAACTGAATTTGGAGAAGCGACAGTGAGAGGAAAATGAAGATGGACAGAAATAGACAAAAATTATTCCGAGGTCAATGAAAGGTGTGAGAGGAGAATGCAGAGTATAGAGATTGATAGGTAGAAAATTAAGAAAATAAAGGAGCGTAATGCAGGGCAAGGTTAACAAATTACTTTGCATCTAATATTCACGAATAATGGTCAGTAAATAACACATTACATTCTTTTCCTAACACCTTTACACCTTGTTGCACCACTTAAGCACTGCTATCAAACCATGCAAATCAGTCAGCCTTGAAATATCGGTACTGATGTGACATGACGGAGAAATGATGCATGTGTAAAGCATAATAGCCACTCGCAACAGCTCTAGTTAATATTTTAGTCTTCAATAAACTTTACATGATAATGTGCACCATAAATGCTCCTCTTCCCTATTATTGTCTTGTCTGAGTGAAGAACTGAAAACAACCAGTTATTTTCTGTCACTCCAACTTTCAGCCGGAGCAGATTTCTGCGGCGCAGCATGTCAGACAAGGAATCTTTAGTTTTCATTCAAACAAAGCAATAAAATCAACATAAACATATGATATTTAGTAATTAACTGAATATATTAATACTGAACTATAAAACAAGGCAGTTGGGTTGGTGCAAGTGGCCACACTCATA